ACCCCGACCCCAGTCCCTGAGCCGTGAGCCCCGGGGCGCGCGGGGATGGGGTGGGCGCGCCGGGCGGGGACCCGGCTCGGGGCTCAGGGGCTGACGCGCGTCTCCTTCCTCCTCGGTGCCTCGTTTCCCGCGCGTCCGCTCGCGCGGCCGCAGGGGACAGCTTCGCGATGTCCGCGTACGCGAGTGGCCACAAAGGCGCGGAGGAGGCAGAGCGGCGCGTCGGCGGCAAGCAGGTAGGCGCGGGCCCGGGAGCGGGCGCCAGAGTTGTGACCCCTGGTCCGGACCTGCGAGGTGGCACGCCGCCATGGTGACCCCAGCTGGGCCAGAGCCCGTCCCTGCCCAGCCTCTGAGTCCCAGGCTGGGGTCTTGTGGCACCAGGGCCTCAGGATCCCAGCTGGAGGCGTCGGGGGCGGGGGCTGGGCATCAAGGTGCTTTAGAGTCAATGGCTTGCACTGGGGTTTGAGACCACCGCCTCTCCCGTCTGTGGGGTGGGTGGCCACTGGCCTGCAGGGAGGCTCATGGGAAAGCCAGGCTCCAGATGCGCAGCCAGGGGCCCCGACTGTGGGCTCAAGACCCAGCCGTCGGGCAGAGTGGGTTTGAAAGGCGTTGGGTCTAGAAGCAGAGAACGGCCCCTGCCTGGGGTACCGGGGGGACCTTGAGTAAAGTAAACCCACAGTTTGTCAAGCAGAAGGTGGTCCCAGCATTGGCGTGAACTGGGTCCCTGTAGAGGGCCACCCCAGGTGGCCGAGGCCCCTGCCCCTGTCCTGCCTGCCCCCACACCCCCAAAGTCCACGGCAGGCAGAGTGCATCAGCCCCCTTATTTGAAGGACGTTCTTCTGGCTGTTGCTAAATAAAAATTCCACGTCTGTTTAGACACTTGTGCAGCGGGGTCCTGAGAAAGGGCTCAGATATGTCCTGAAAAGGAGACACCCTGGAGTCATGTTCGTGCTCTCTGGGAGTGCCGTGAAGTAGCGAATGCACCAGAGGGCATTTTCTGGGTACCTCGTAATAACGCTGGATGGACGTGTGCCCCTCCATGCAGGGGACCAGACAGCACTGCTGGTTTCTGCCTTTTTCCCTCGTCAGAGAGGTGCCAGTAAGGGGCTGGAGCCTCGTCAAGGCTCGGCCGTCCTCCACGTGGTCAGTCAAACGTCACCTGCCTGTAACTTCACATCGAGGTCAGGCCTGGGGGTGTGGGCACAGGGCCTGGCTCTGTGCGCTCAGGAGGTCTCTGGGTGAGCGCACTCACTCGTTGGGAACGTGGCAGTGACACGCCGGGCAGTCCCAGCACCAAGCGGCCTGCTTCTGCTGGGCCACGGGGCTTGCAGAGAACACGCTGTTGCCGATGAGAACACGGGACTGGGACTGGAATGGCCCTCCAGGCCCGCGGGTCCCGGGGTGGCCCTCCAGGACAACGGGTCCCGGAAGGGCCCTCTGGGCTCCTCTGTGATCTGAATGTTTGCATTCCTCCAAAGTCTGTTTGTTGAAGCTTGGCCCTGGGGTGATGGTGTCAGGCGGTGGGAGCTCTGGGAGGTGCTCAGGTCATGTGGACAGAGTGCCTGTGACAGCGTTCGTCCCTCAGAAGTGGCCCCACAGGGGTAGGTCCCTGTCCCATCCGCTGTGGGAGGACACTCGAGGAAGCACCATCTAAGGGTCAGCGAGGCCGCACCAGACACGGAAACTGCCCCCACCTCGACCTTGGGGTTCCGGTGTCCAAAGTGACAGAACTGAGTGTCTTTACAAGCCCCCAGCGTGTGCTGTTCGAGCCGCCCAAGCTCATTGGTGGAAGCAGGTGTCTTAACACCAGGGTACAGGAAGAGCAGAATGACCTGAAAGACGTTTCGGCTTTGAAACAACAGCGTGGCTTCTACTGTGTCTCCCTCATTTGGCCGCGGGGATGTGAGCCTTTGGCACCAGCCCCAGGTTGACCCACTGGCCCAGGTGTACCTCGCTCCAGCTCTGGTGTCCTTGCAGCCACCGCGTCCCTGAACGTAGCCTGGGCGGCTCTTGCCCAGCACGGGCTCGGACCCTGGAAACCGCTCGGTCAGAGACATTTGGGGGTCGGGTCCTACGTTCCTCCTGTTTACGGCTTGGCATTCTGCTCCCTTCTGCTCTGACCGTCCAGCTCTGTTCATGGCCCTGCCCCCCAGGGGTGCCCGGGGAAGGCCAGCTGGAGTGTTCAGCGCGCCCCGGGGGGACATGCGCCTTTTCTGCAGTTGGTCAGTGGTTCCGTGCCGACCGAGCTGCCCTGTGTGGTCACCAGAACTGTGGCGAACCACCTGGTGGAAATTAAGTGTGTGCCCACCTCCTGTCACCTGTCCCCCTCTTCCCCCAAAGTAAAGGAAATGAGGTCGGTTTTCCCCCTTTTAACGTCCGTGCACCATGCTGGCCCCTGGTGCCTACTTAGCGCACGTCTAAAACACTCTTGTAAATATTAGCATTTTCTAGGCAGCTGGACCGCCTGTGTCCAGGTCTGGAACGGTCTTCCTTGTTGCTTCTGGGAGACGCTATGGTTTGACATTGGCAGGACCTGTCTCCTCTGCCAAGTGCCCCCCGAGGGGCCAGGCTGTGCCGCGTGACACGGGGGTGTTGGCAAGTGCCGCCCAGAGGACCCCGGAAGGGGGTCCCTCGGGTCGTACATGCAGGGCGTTACCAGGAACGAGGGCAGCAGCACCAGAAGCACTTGACGGTGCTGTTTCTAAAGCGGGGGCACAGCCTTCGGGCGGCAGGGTGGTGGTTCCAGGTGGGGACAGCTCGGGGCGGCAGGTGAGGACCAGGCGAGGCCGGGGGCCAGGGCAGAGGACCCCTCCGTGTTGGTCGCGGTGGGCCGGGGTCTGGCCGGCAGAGCCTGTCCCCCGTGCTGGACCGTGGTCGCAGAGGCACTTCCCGGGGCTGCTGGTCTCCCGAGAAGCTCCCAGCAAGCTGCGGGAGACATGGCAGGTGCGGCCGCCCGCCCCGGGGACAGGCGGGCTTGTGACGGCTTGTGTCTTCATGGGCGGTGGCTTGAGGGAGCATGGAGCCTCCTCATCCACAGGCGCCCTCGGGGAGCTTCAGAGAAGCACCAGGGTGGTCCCCGCGCTGGGAGTGCCGTGCCAGGGTCTCTGCACGAAGTGAAGGCAGGACCCACAGTGGCCCGCAGGCCACACGCCCGTCTCACTGCTGAGAGAAGCCCCGAGTGTCAACCCCGAGTGTCCATGCTGCCCTGTGGAGCCATGGGGCCACCGGATGGGCCAGCCGGTGCCAGCCGGGGACAGGGTCTGGGGCCCAGAGGAGTGTGAGGTTCATCCGAGCACCGATTTCCTTCCCCTGCACTTGTGGGCTCCCATGTAAGCATCTGAGGGGCCCAGCTGCCCCCGCTCTTCTCAGGGAAACCCCCCTCAGCTCCTCCTGCGCCCCCTTCTCCCCCGCTGCCTCTCCTGTTCCTTTTCTCTCAGGCCTGCTGGAGGCTCGCTGGCCTGTGGGGAGGCCCAGCGGGCCCTGACCATCTCGGGGTGCGGCATCCTCTTGGTCCTTGGGGACGCCCACATGTGTGTGCTTAACCCAGGAGGGTCCCTGGGTCCCCAGGTGAAGTTTGGAGCAGATCAGCCCCTGACCCCAGCAGGAGGGTGTGGGTGGTTCTTCCTGAAGGAAGCTGGACCCCTGGTCTTATGTGGGCACCGGGCGCCGGGTTCCACATCTTTCCGGAGTCGATTGATAGCTGATCCATGTAAGCACGTGCTGGGAATGGCTTAGAATGAAGTATTTTCTTTTATTTATTTTATTTTTTGAAGTCTACTTATTTATTTTTGAGAAGGAGTGAGTGAGTGAGCAGGGAGGGGCAGAGAGGGAGAGAAAGAGAATCCCAATCAGGGTCCACGCTGTCAGCACAGAGCCCACTTGGGGCTTGATCCCACAAGCTGTGGGGTCATGGCCTGAGTCGAAACCAAGAGTCAGAAGCTCAACCGTCTGAGCCGCCCAGGCACCCTAGAATTAAGTATTTTAAAATAATCATAATGAAAAAGCAGCCTCGGGCTACCCGTATTGGCTGCTGTATCAAACTGCCTAAAACCGCGGACATTTATTCTGTGCTGGTTCGGGGTAGGAGGGGGGGAGTCCGAAACCAGGCTGTCAGCAGCGCTGTGCCTCCCTGATGGCTCTGCGGGACGGTCCTTCCTGGTCTCCTCCAGCTCCGGGGGCAGCCGGTGTCCTTGGGCTTGTGGCCGCAACAGCCCCATCCCTTCCCAGGTCCACATATGGCCTTTTCCCGTGTCTCTGTGTGTCCCCTCCTCTTCCTACAAGGACACCAGCCACTGGTTAGAGTCTGCTCAGATCCAGCACGATTCCATCTTAACAGACGACATGTGCAAAGACCGTGTTCTCCAATAAGGTCTCGATCTGAGGTTCCAGGGAGACGCGGGTTCCGGGAGGCACCGTTCCGCCCGGTACAGCTGCACGACGTGCCAGGTTGGAACACGCTGCTTTCCTCATTGTTTGGCCTAAAAGGGACTAGCAGCAGCCGTGGGTAGCAAAGCTTCCCGTCGAGGCTGGTGCGGCCTTCACACTAACGTGTCAGCGGAGGCCCTTGTTCTGAGGCCGACCCGAGTGCGTCCACACTGAGCCACAGCTGAATAGCTGTTTCGGGATTTGCTGATCCCAGAACGAACCTCTAGACTTGCGTTCTCTGAGCAGGAACACTGAGCAGTGCTGGGCACACGCAGACAGGCCTCTGGTGTCCAGACAAGCTCTCGGCTGCTGAGGCACAGCAGTCGCGCTCCCCAGATCCCTGGTTGGCCCCATCTGGGTCAGCTTTAGGTTCTTCCGCGGCCAGCCTGGAAGGGAGGGCGGCTGGCAGGTGGGCCCTCCCGGAGGGTCTGTTAAAGGGATCGTGACATGGTCGCTTTGCACCCGGAACAGCTGGCGTTGACTTGGGGCCAAGTCAGGGGTGTGGAGCTGTAGCTTGAGGCGGGAGACCTCAGGAACCCCCCCCCCCACAGGCCAGAAAGCCCCTGGGCCGGGTAGACCCTGAGGGCGCTATGCATCCACAGGCACCAGCGTCCCCAGGTGGCAAAGACACTCTCCAGCCAGACCACCCGCAGGACGCAGGCTCCTCCTTCTCTCCATGCCAGCGAGCAGGCCCTGTCCCCCCGCCTGTCCCACCTTCACCCCGTTCCTCGGGAAACCCGTCAACTCAGGCTCTTGATGTTGAGGGTTAGAATCAGCCATTTCTCCCCGCCTCTGCTGTGACCTGCTCCCC